GATTTTGCATGCATTTGGTCAAGCCAGCGATTGCTTCCGTCAAGTTTGCCAACTACTCCTCCACGGATGAAGTATTTGTCACCATGGCTTGCATGATTGTCGTGGACGATGGAGTGTAGCATGGATTTTCACACAGATTGATCCTTGATAGGCTCATGCTATGTGGTGTAAGTGGGGAGGATCCATCACTTGAAGCATCATCATCTTCCTTCACAGCAGAGTGCTTGGATCCGGAGAGGTCAAGCAGAGCAAGAGTTTTCTTGATCTTTTCAGCAACATCGCTTGCTCCTTCAGATACGTTTGTGGAAGATCTTACTCCTTTTGAGGATGAAGATCAAAAAATAGGGGTTGACGCGGACGACACTTGGGGTGCTTGTTATCCTAAAGAGCTTGCTTTGCTCCTCGTAACTGATCCGAAGCTTCCAAAGGTAACATCGAGGATGCTTTCCACATCAGCATAGAACCTGGAGTTAGCAGTCTTGGTGGAAGTTGAACCGGAGTTGATTCTCTTTGAAGCCATTTTAGCGTTCTTGGATTTTGATTGTTGGAGAGAAGAGATGAGAGGCAAAGATGGTCCCACTGGGCGTGCCAAAATTTGTAACAACTAAAATTTCATTCCTGAAAATAATAATCAAGACAAGAAATATAGCGACAAAAAAAAGTGTTTGTATTTCAATAATTTACGCGGGTTACAATCTTTGAACAATCTTAAGTTTAAAAGATGTAATCCTCTGATTCTTCTCCTCACGACCATCAATTCGAGAGCTTCGCTTGTTCTTGAATTGATGGACCACTTGTTGTTGGGATTTGACCACGAATACGGAGTTAGGCTTTGATCACAAACGTGGAGGATGGAAAACTTGCGGCTCACCCCTTGGAGACAACGATTTCTTGCTATGCGGAAGACTTGTGAATCACCACTGTGGAGAAGAGCTTCAATATCTATCCTTTTTCCTGTTCCTTTGGCCTTATGGAGACCCCCTATTTATAGTTGCAGGGGAAGGAACTTGTGATAAATACATATCTTTTTCCTCCAATTTGATTGGCCAACTCGAGTCATCAAACCTATCACTAAAGCTATGTGATAAGCTTGCACATAATTGGTTGAACCATGTCATTTGAATATTTGGCGATATTTGATTGGTCCTTACATTTGACTTGGCATGTACATCACTTATGCGCTTGACATGATTTTAGTGGCCTTTGATTTGACTTGGCGTGTCATGTCATTTGACACGTGACATGGATTTTGGGCTTATCATTTGAAGTCCAACAAGATGAACTAGCCCCATTAACTAAATTCAATTATTCTAGCCCGTAATCATTGTTTGAGCTGATACGTCTTTGAATTTATCATGTGGTCCAAATAATTTAATGGACTCAAACTCAAATAAAATCCAATCGTTTACATGTGCATTTTGGCATGACCTTGAAAATGAAAGTAAAAGAACCTTGTTTATAACTTTATAATGATAGGTTTGGGAGTAAACTACAGCTTTATATGACATCTGGAGTAAACTATCTCTTCACATAAATACTCCTAACACATACTCCAGCATTATTTACTCTAAGGGCAATGTAGAAAAAAAATAATTATTCTTGAAATCTGGAAAAATTACTTATTTTGAACAAAAAAAAAAGGTCAAAAAATTGTTTATTTTGGACCGGAGGGAGTATGACATAAAATGAAAGAAGATTAGCTGAATTTATTTTATTCCATTGAGAATATCAAACTCCATTCATCTCGTTTTATAGTACGGTGTGACGGATTATGGAATTCGAGATATTACTTTTAGATTTTATATTAATGATAGTGAAGAATATTTAAGCAACAATAAAAATTAAATTTAAAATTAAACATTTGATTAGAGTTACTGAATAGAATTGAATTCCTATAAAGTTATGTGGGTACATTAAATAAGTTGTAGAATGACGTGAAACACGTGGGACGTTACAAATTTAACGAGCTCTTTTAATGAATAATGTTAAGCACTTGTATTCCAAAATTAAAATTTATGATATATTGGCTAATTACTAAATAGCAGTCCTTTAGAGTGGCTACTTGGTGTCATTTCTATGAGTTTGCATTTGCTGGTTTGACAGCCTTTCGGACAAAGTTTTATTTGGGCCTAATTGAGCTTTGGTGGCCCATTTCACCAATAGTTCTTCATTCTTCTAATTTTAAAAAAAATTAAATTGGAAGATATGAAAGCAAGAAGAGAAGACAGTAAAAACCGAACCCACGCCTTTTATATGGAAGATTCATTCTTCTATCACAAGAATATAAATTTTAATCGTGAAAACATGACACAAGAACTAAAACACAATAGGCCATATATGATGTAAAGAAGAATTTTTCTTAATTGCATTTGTCTACGTGTAAGAAGTAAAAAATACAAATCTAGCAATGACCAAATCTTGGAACAAAGGTGCAAGGTATTTTATGAGCCAAAAATCATTTACATCTATTCAATGGAATGTCTCTCAATTAAAAATAAAAATTCTTTGTTCGAAAACATCTTCACTTCAACCCTAAATTTAAATAAGGGAGTTATTTTCTTTGACGTGGCCATTTTTCCCAGCTAGAAGTGGTGCAGTGGTATCTTTATCTTTAACCTGAGATGACAACAAAAACACAAATTTTAGAATGAATAAGGTACAATGATTTATAGCACAAAGTACAACATTTTCAAATTGTTACGAGAAGAAGGAGGGCTAAGTGCACAAAGTATTATCACTTTTAGCCTGAGCCAGAAACTATTTATATTTGATAGCCGAAATTATGTATAAAGTTTGTATAATTTTTGTATATAACATACATAATGTATATATATACAAAAAAATATACAAATTTTATATAATTCTTTGGCAATTATTTTTACAGCGGCTATACAATGTCATTTTTCCACAACCATTCTTACGGCTGCTATTTAGGAATTAGCCAATATTTATTTTGTCATGAAATTTTGAATAAAAAATCTTAATTTCAAGATAATTCAGGACAATTGTGTCCCAAAAAATTGAACTGAAAAACTGAAATTCATGACGTATTGGCTAATTCCTAAATAGCAACTCTTTAGAGTGGCTACTTGACTAAGAAGAGAAAGATGGGGGTGGGGGATGGGGGGTGGGGAGAATCTTACTTGAGTCATAGAAGAAAGGTCTCCAACTTGTTTCCTTTTGGTTTCATTGACACAAAAATAGGAATACAATCCCATACCAACAATGGCAATAAGAATTCCAATAATGTTCCTTGAAGTGAAAGGATCATGTAGCAATGTATAACCAAAGGCTAAAACCAAACATGTTTTAAGGTGGCCTAACACTTGATATGTAACTGGTGATGTCTTTCCAATTACTAAAAATGTGCTGAAATTCACTGATACAGCAATCAAACACGACAACAATATAAATCCCTGCATTTGAGTTACACATTGTTAAAATTTTGTGACAAGACAATAGGTGTTAATTTAAGAATATAATGTGATTAGTGTTTTTTCTTACCATAACAATAGGAGAATATTTGTAGGCGAAAACACTCTGTTTGGTAAGGAATTGATCCACCACAGGCCCTGATACAAATAGAATAGCTGCTTGGAAAGGGGCTGATTGATACAACAATTGAGTTGATGAGATGTTGAGCCTCTTTTGTATTGTGTTGGTCAGCTGAATTGGAGGGTTAAGTGAAATTATAAACAATAATAATTGAGTTTATCTTTTATACGCTGACATTGTAAGCGGAAGGAGGGTCATCGGCCCCGGTAACTTCGGAAAAAAGGTGTGTATATATAGTGACCCTCGGACTATAACACGTTAGTAAAATAGGCGATCATGAAAAGGATACAATTTGTCCAACACAAGTTGTAACAATGGCGAGAAGGGAGAGAATTGTTCCAACAAAATTGAGCTGAAGATCAGTAATGGAGGCATAGCCAACTCCGATCAGCAGAACGAACAAAGCAAATTTAATATTCCGGCTGCAAATATATGTGTAACAGACAATAATTATTAGTGAATCAACAAGCCCCTACTTCTGTATTTTAATTTGCGAATTAATTAAAATATAGAATAATGGATTACCTGAATNTATATATTAGAAATAGCAAAATTAACTCACTTTTTGGTAATACGCCTAAGTTTAGACAGGTTTATGACCCATTTTTGTTAAGTTGACCCAATTGAATCCAGAATGACCCATCAAACTATTTGATCAGATAGTTAACTCAGCAGGTCAAAATGCAGCAACCATATCAAAAATATAAAAAATCAAATTTGGAGATTGAGAAATATGTAATTTTGTAAGAACTTTAGATAACAAATTATTTAAGCAAAATACATTAGTTTTTTTGAGCAAATAAAGTACATTAGGATGTGTGAGGTCATATTGGACGGATTAGATTATGACCATTATTTGATTCATCTTGACTCAACCAAATATCAGGCAAGTTGGGTCATGATTTGTTTATTGATTTGACTTGTTTTGACCTAATTCTCGCTCATTCGCCACCTCTAAATTTGTGTATCACATGCACACACTCAAAAAACATTTTAAAAATATGTAGTAATAGTTTGACATTGATTTATACCTGATAGAAGCCAATGGAATTAAAGCCAAGGCTAAGGTTGAGAAAGCCAATGGATACACCATTTAAGATACCAAAAAGCATCACAGTCTTCATATCAATAGGCTTGTTTTCAAAGAAATTGAATTTCAGTGCCACGTGGAGTGTGCAATATGTCACCATTAGATGCCAACTTGTTAATGTTGTGGCTATAATCAAAAAAATAAATATACACATTACTAATCTTGAAATAATAAATAACTGAATCTTGAATATAATATTCAAAGTTTGGTAAGTACTATGATAAGATCTTATATTACATTTTTTTTATTGATTAAAATTCTACCAAATGCCAAAAGTGTAAGTTAGAGGAAAATGAAATATTACCAAAGGGAAAACCAAGATTACTCATCAAAGCTTTGTTGCAAATAACAATAGAAACTGAAGATGCCACAGATAGGAACAGTGCTCCCACCACACCCAACTGAAAGCTAGTCATTTCTCCCATCTTCATCAATCAAAAGAAACACAAAATATTAGAAGAACAACAACAATAACATACCTAACAATAACATACCTAGTGTAATCTTATATAATGGGGTTTGGGGAGCGTCATCGAATGTACGCAGACCTTAACCTCTACTGTGTAGAGGTAGAGAGACTGTCTCCAATGAACCCTCGACTCAAAAAACATATAAGCATAACAGTAATGGAAAAAAACGATAGTACTGTAGAAGCCACAAAAAAAAAAACAGTAACAACAACAAAATAATAATAAGATGACCGAAACGAAAGAAATAACAGGTAATAGTCGAAAAAAATCACCTTATGATCTTTTTCTATCTTTGATTAATATGAAAAACAATTGGTCAATTTAACACACTCTAAAAATATGCCTTAATTATATTACTCTTAAAAACTATTCTTTTGGGAAAAGGTGGATGAACCGAAGTATCTGACGAAGTCATAATAAAAACAAGAACATGAACTCTCAAAACATTTATATAAGGTAATAATATTAATATATGTTAGGCAAAAGGAAATAATTTCTGTGTCTTAGCACTATGTATGCATGTTTGACGATTTCAACTTAACCTTAACTATGACTAAATATCTTTAACACCGAAGAGCCAAACTCAAAGTTGGCCGGAAATGCCCATTTTTCTGGCTAAAGCAAATCTTCGTGCTAATCTTTTATCAATAAAACCTTTACCTTATTAAAAAAAAATGTTCGTGCTAATCTTAACTTTACAAATTGTCAGTTTCTGTAACAAAATGTGTACGTGCATAACGCGATCAAAATTAACACAATAAAAAGATTAAAACAAAATCAAGAAATTAAGACATTGTAGATATATATGTACCTCTTCAAATAATGATGGCGATTACACAAATAAAGTTAAGCTCCTACAGCTCCACAAATGAAATTTTAAGAACTTAGAGAGATGATGAATGTGGGTTTTTCTTTGTTTGGGTGTGGGTTTTTTTGAAGGGGGGAAGGAAGAGCTTTGTGGCTTGAATGAGAATGTAGAAGAAAAAATGCAAGCCTTTATTTACAACTTATGTGGAGTGTGGTTGGTGCTAACGTCGTTAATTTTAGCTGTGGTTGGTCTTCAAGGCCTAACGGTTGATGAACATCTTTAAACATATTATAGTATTCGAGCAGCTTGCGCGTATCTCGACTAATTTACTGGTAACTGCTACTCTCTACCAGCACAAATATCAAATAGCTTTGTCGATCCATCGAGGTTCAAACAGATGGAAAGAAATAACCTATTTTTTTGGTCTACAATGGCATTTTTAAATAAATTTTTACACATTAATTAGCATATTACTAATTTTACTTATTATTAATAGTTATATATAGTTATTTTTTAAAATTTAATATATAAATATTATCATACACTAACAATGTATAAAAATTGAACCCCTTCTTGATACCTTGTATATTACAGCATGCGAACAGTTTATGCGTTTTTCGATTAAATTTATCAGTAATTGCTACCTTCTACCAGCACAAATAACAAATAACTTTGTCGATCCACCAAAATTTAAACAGATGGGAAGAAACAATCTTATAGTTTTTGTGTCCACTAGCACTTCTAAATAGATTTTTACACAATCAATATAATTTGCATGTCTTATTAATTAGCAGATTACTAATTCTACTAATTATTGTTAATAATTTTATATACTTATTATTTAAAATTTAAAATAATATAAAAGTTATTGTACTGACAATGTATAGAAGTTGAACCCTTTCTAAAGTCGAAGCTAAACGACTAATATAAGCAAACCTATTTGACTGACTTTAGGTTACAAATATTCTTATTAAGCTAAAGCCCCAAGATATTGGACTAATCATTCACAGAACAAAGCAAGAAATAACTTATTTTTAAATAAAACATGCATTTCTCTTTCCCTTTTCCTAATTCTGACATTTTAGCTAATACATGTACTTACGTTTACTAAAAATCTACATAGATCTCCTAACAAGAAACATAATAATTGACATGACAACGGGCGTGGTTTTATTATATGTTTCATTTAAACCTAATCACGAATCAAATATGGAGTTTAATTAGTCGAATATTAACCAACAATGTAATAATCGCGAATCCTTAATGATTTTTCCTTTCTTAATTACACTGAGAGAGTGAGATTTTGATAATATTTTAAAGAATTGTTGGCTCACCTAATTAAGAGATAAATAAACTTGTCTTAATACAGAAGCCAGAAAGGTGAAGTGAACATTTCATATGTGACAATGTACCTGCCAATACTAGCAAAAACCGTTGGCACTAAACCAAATGTGTTTGGTGAGAATATAAGACTTTAATTTTACTCCAAATATGATGAATCTACAACCATGCGTTCTATATAAAATGGAAAATAATGTGTAAAAATCCTATAAAAATAAGATTATTGATAAATTCATTTTATTTAATAATAGAAAAGATTCTACATGCGTTTCTCAGCTCATTTCATTTGTATTCTGCACTTCTTACAAATGACAATTCTATTTCTTGAGAAATAAGGGATCATTATATTTTGAGGGTTTAATTTCAATGTAGGCTAGCACTCTCTGTGTGTGTGTAAAGGTTGATGTGATTGATTAGGTCCATAATTAATTTCATATTTTAGTCAATGCCTTCAAGCTTCTGGAAGTATTATAAGCTGTCTTGTGTATGTCAATCCCTTTAATTGAAGGAAATTTATTACTTTTAATATTTGTTGATCATGAGATGATTTATGTTGTTTATGTCAAGTTTATCACAGAGAATCGATCATGGAGGTTTTGAGCTAAGAGTTTCTTCTTTCTTACCGAAGAGAAAACATGAATTATAGTGTGTATATCAACTCTTACTCTACTGCTATATAGCTAACTAACCGACTAACCACTAGGTAGTTACTAACTTCTAATTATTACACATACACTTATTACTTTAAGTTAACTATACACTACTACCCTACTTCACTCTTGCTATTCTCAACACTCTCCCTCAAGCTGGAGAGTGCGAACACATTCAGCAATCCCAACTTGGAAACTAAATATTTATGATGCTGTCTTCCAAGCCCTTTGGTCAAAATGTCTGCTTGTTGCTCCCCAGATTGTGTGTACTATGGCACTATATCTTCTTTCTGCACTTTCTCCCTTATGAAATGGCAATCTATCTCAATATGTTTTGTTCGTTCATGATAGACTGGATTCTTAGCAATTTGAATTGTTGCCTTGTTATTACATAATAACTCAATTGGTAGCTTCAATTTTATCCCCAGTTCTTCATATAATCTGATCAATCATATTATTTATGATATTACTGAAGCCATGCTCCTGTACTCAGCTTCAGCTGAGCTCTTGGACACTGTTGTTTGCTTCTTGGACTTCCAAGATATTAAGGATTCCCCATACTTCACTAAATACCCTGTCACTGATCTCCTGGTATTTGGACATGAGGCCCAATCTGCATCACAGTATGCCTTGCTTTTTTTTGCTGGTTTGCTTGACAGTAGCACTTCCAATCCAGGTTCTCTCTTCCTAACAATTCTCATGGATGCTTTCATACGAGACCTTTTTAGGTGCTGCAGAAAATTGGCTCAATGTTTGAATAGCAAAGCTTATATCTGGCCTAGTCATTATAAGATACAACATTTTGCTTATTAGTCATTGATAAGCTTCTATATCATCCAATGGTGCATCACCTTTGTGTCTAACAGGATCATTGTGAGCACCTAATTTTTGACAACATTTAATTTTTTGTCACTTCTTCTATGTAAATATTTTAGGGGTTTTAACCTACAATATTTAGCTTTGTTACACTTTTTATTATAGGTTAAAAATACAAAATTTTAGAAGGTGAATTATTACTATTAATATTATTTTATTTTTTATTTTTAAATAATAAAAAAAATTCGAAAAATATTAATTATTTTTAAATTTTCGGGAGAGATTTAAAAAAATAATAAAAGGGAAGTATGAAATTAAAAAAATAAAAGTAAAAGTAGGTGAAATTCTCTTTTAAAAAAGTAAAAGAAAGTGGAAAATTAAAAAAAATAAAAGTAAAGTTTTGTGGAAATTTTAAAAAATAAAAAATAAAAGAAAGTTGGAATTAAAAAATAAATATAAAGGTAGCTGAAAATTTAAAAAATTTAAAGTAAATAAAGTAGAATTTTTTAAAAAGAAAAGCAAAACAAAGTGGATTATTTTTTTAAGAAAACTAAAATAAGTGGAATTCTCTTTTAAAAAGTAAAAAAAAAAAAGTGGGATTTTAAATAAGATAAAAGTAATTAAAGTTGGAATTTAAAAAATAAAAGTAAAGAAAGATGGGAATTCTTTTTATAAAAAAAAAGAAAAGAAAAGCAAAATGTAAGTGAGATTTCTTTTAAATAAAAAAAGATAAAATAATTTAAAAAAATCTGAAATTTTCGAAAATTCTCCTATAAATAGAAGAGTAATATTTGAAGAAGAAGAGAGAGGAAAGTAGAGAGAAAACATATTTTCTTCTTCTATGCAAAAATAGAATTTTTACTATTTCATTCTTTCTTCCTATTTCTTTCAAAAAAAGATCAATTCATTATCTTGTTTAAGATAAAAAAAAAATTAGCTCTTTAAATACCTCAAAATTAGCCCCAAAATAACCATAAGAATTCGTGGCATGAACCCATTTTCCTTTGAGTTTTAGTTACAGTCAAGTAACGAAATTCAATCCGTCGAGGTTGTCGGTTCAAAGTTCAGTGAATAGCTTGTTGTGTTCAACTCAATTTGGAGTTTTATATTTGAAAAATATTGAGCAAAGGTCCATTCTAATCTTTGCCATTTTTGTGTACTTGCATGAATCAATTTACACTATACTTAATGAATATTGTTCTATTTAAATTGTGTTTTGCAAGTTATATGTTAAGTTGTATTATTCTTTGAATATTTTCATGTTATCCTTATTAATAATAAAAAATTTTAAAAAAAATATATTCATTGATTGGGTTATATATTATATAATCATCCATTGTGGCCACATTAATATGATTTTGTATGTTTTGATTTACTCTCCGATTTTAAATGTTGCCCTCTTTTCATTTTATGTTTTGGGATGCTCTACATATTTGTTAGGAAATGTTTTAAATATTCATGATTTTTTTTTCTTTTTGTTTGTTAGTTGAAATGCAAAAATAATTACAGAAGTTTAAATCTATTAGTTTGTGAATATGGAAGATAGATTAATTCCTCTGGATGTAACCGTGCATTTCTGTATCATATTTTGCTTTTAAGCACATATTTGATCCTTCAATGACTACGCTATTAAATATTTTTATATAAAGGAAGAGAGATTTTTTCTTTTGCACTCTAACTCTTGAGGAGATGGATACAATTGAAGAGAAACAAGTTTTAATATTTCATATTGTCCATCATATCTCCTGAACCAAACGTTGTAGTGTTATTTACAATTGTGTTGCAAGGGTTAAATGTAAATTTAGAATATTGATATGCATAGTGCAGGTTACCATTTATGGCCCTCACAAAACTAGTTAGCTTTTTATAGAAATTTCGAGGTGTGCCATTTAGCTGAATTTTCCATGGCCCTCGCAAACTTTAAAGTGCATAGTTGCTTTAGGCGCGTAATTTAAATTAATTTCCTTAAACTCGGGTGTGCATTTCATGTGACCCAAATCCAAATCTCAACAATGTTAAATAAAATGCGTCATGGACCGCGGGTGCATTTCATGTGGCGTGGTTCAAGACGTGTTTTAGATAATGTTGAATCTTCTTAAAATTAATTAAAAGCGGCTAATAAGTTAAAAGTGTACCATAGGTTAAAACATGTATTAAACTCAGATAATAGGCCAATTATAATAGTTTAAGAGACCGTGCTAGAACCACGGAATCCGGGGGTGCCTAACACCTTCCCTTGGGTTAACAGAATTCCTTATTCAGAATTTCTGGTTCGCAGACTTCAAAAGGAAAGTCGAAATTTTCCTCGATTTGGGATTTAAAATAAATCGGTGACTTGGAACACCAAATAAACGATCCCAAGTGG